GTGTTGGGCCTGGCGATGTCCACACCGAGTCTTTGCAGGGCAACCCGCTTGGCCGCGTTTCCAATCATCACGAGGATACTCGGGTATTGGCTATCCGGGCGTGGCAGACTGTCCAGCAGTCTCTGGGCACGATCCGAGCTTTCGACGACATACGCCTGGTCTTTGGTGGCCACGCGCAGCCAACCAGTGTGTTTACAACGGGTCATGTTGCGCACTGGATGAGGGTCGTCAGCTGCACCGGGCAGACGAGGCGCGTGTCTGTCTTATAGGCAGTGTAGAAAGCAACTCGGAAGCCAAAATGGGCTGGGTGGATGGACCTTGGGCCCGACGACCTGGATGAATCTATAATCGTCTGCGATCCAATCGCCAATGCTCTGAAGCCATTTGCGTCCCAGTCTTCATTCAAAGTCAAGCGTAGGTCCATCCGGCTTCGCAAGCGAGTGTTCCAACACACATCAAGAGCGGGAAGATCGAATTGGCGCATGCATTCTCTGGCATGACAGCACATTTCTTATCCGCTGTCTGTATTTCTATCTCTGCGCCGTTCAGACAGTGGCTCCTCTATGCCCCCCAGTGCTATAACGTACTCCTAGTTTGCCAAAACCAGATTCAACCATCAGATCTCCCATTGCACAGACATTTCCGACGGCGGACTAGAACCCACACCTATGCTCGTCCACATGGGAGCAAACGCTGTCGGGGCGCATGATGGCAATATGTCGTTCACGTCTGTCCAACAAAACTGTTGTCGGCCACAGAGGCAGCTACAGTAGGGCCAGTGGAGGTAGCGCCCACTATCCAGGTTCCAAGCCCATAGCGGATCATGCATGTGCTCCAAGCCATCTTGCGTCGAAGTCATCGGCACCGGCGTTGGATAATCGGTAGAGGTTCCGCTTTCAGGCTGGCTGCTCTCGGGCGACGTGAAGCCGCCGTCAAATGACCAAAACCCATCGTCGCCGCAATCACTTCCGGACACATTTTCCTTCGAGTGATCCTGCAAAGTGGGTGCGCAAGACGGAGGAGGCGGCGATGCGACGCTGATCTTCCATTTGTATGATCCCCCTGCCTTTTTCCTACGACTCGCTCCGCGATCCGATCGGGGCTTACGCGTTGGTTGGAACTCCGTCACCCCTGCCTCCGCGAGCTGCCAGAGGGAGCCTCTACGTTCCACTCGTTGGAAGGCCTGTGCAACACAGATTACGACTTAGCAGGAAAGACTAGACCGTCACAACGCTGGCGCAACTCGCTAGCGTACCTTGTTTACGCTCAGGTTCGAACGAACGCTGTTTTTCCATCCTTCGCCTCCCTTGTTGGCTCTCCTGGTGTTTTGCTCAAACCAGTGGTAGAGTTCGCCTAGCCCCATCGCCTTTTTTTCTGTGCTGTGGAGTGCGATGTAGATGAGTTGCGCGTACGTCATCTTCTGCTCGCCTTCGTCCAACCGCCTGTCAGCGGACGGCGATGATTCGACGGCTGTCTCGGTCAGGCGTGGGAAGGCCGGGTCCACGCTGAAGCTGTGGTCTGGCGTGCCATGTTGTGCTGGCACTGGTTGCGGCTGGGATTGCTCGCCACCCTGGCCTGCGCTCTCGTCCTCGTGAGATATGCGGTTGTGTGGTGGTTGAGGGGGTCGAGGAGACATACACTCGGAAGGAAGGGGGGACGTGCGAACAGGGTCCATCGGATCGAGTTGTTTGCTGCTTGACGATGGGCAAGCCCTGCATTCAGACCAAACAGTCGAGGCGTCCAACTACACTCGTGAGCGCCACTGAATCCAACATAACCACATGTTTGGCAAACGCTCTCATTTCGCGCTCTTATTCGTAAGCCATGGCTTGTTGCTTTTCCCATTTGCAGTCTCCCAGTCGTCGGTGGCATGGTATCCAGCGCCAGAATGAGTTCCCCCCAAAAGATGGACGCACTTTCTTCGCCGCGCGCCTATTGTGAATCAGTCGATGCCAGAGACCCATGAGCAAGAAACCACGAGCTGCGCCGGATTTGCATTGCTGCACAACGCTACGTTCTGCTCCGCGGGTGGGGGAACCCAAGAGTGTATCTCGCCGCCAAATACCTACCTTGACGTCAAATGAGAGATTTTGGGAGCCATCCCTGATGGAAAGCCGAATGTGGATGTCGTCGTATGGGGCTCCCGAACTATGCCGCAGCCAGTGGCCGATTGTTGCTTCTACGCTGTTATCGGATGTGTGCTGGAGAAACCCACCCCCTTCCCGGGGCTGAGACCGTGCCTCGGCGGGCTCGCCTCCCAAAAAGCTGCAGGGGCCCATTCGACTTCCCGACCGACGGCACTCAGAAAGAACGGCCACCGTCGTACCGGTAGGCGAACGGCCAAAAACGGCTGCGGCTCCAAGCATCTGGCCCGGCTTGGCGCAACGCGGGACGGGCTCCGCGCGCATTGCCGCCGGAACATGGCGGGCTTTTGGGGTTCGTCAATCACCATTCATCCCATCGCACAGCATACAAGGTACGATCTTAATCGAGCGCCCACAAGGCCAGCGTCATGGCGCCCGAGGAGAACTGACAGTCGCTAGCATCAGGTTGTCTTCGACTTCCCTTTCCACTAATTTGCCGTCTGTCGCTGGTTCGTTACTGGAATTGAATTGCGGTAAAGAGACCGCCTGGCGAACCACTCACGAGCAGGGAAGTGGAGCTGCAGCTCTACGTAATTGAAGGAGAGACGGGCGAAATTCAGGTGTTCACTGCACTAGAAAGGCCCATCGGAAGCACCGCCCACCAAAAGGCCCAGAGGTTTGCACGAAGAAAACATCATCACGACATAAGGCCTCGGCGGCAATACGGCCTGGAAAACTGCAGCTGGAGCATTGGCAGACTTTTCGACGTATCTTTTGGGACATGCACTATGGCTTCCACCTCTACAAGGAAATACCGTATTCGATTCATGTACTAAACTCATCGCTGTGTGAACTACCTCATGACTCGTTGCGCCGCCTTTCGAGTAGCCAGACACCCGTCAAACTCCAACCCCCCAATAATGGCAATGCTGCCGTGTACTTCGCCTTTGGGCCGCTTTCCTCTCACAGAAAACTTGCAGCAACATGCCCCAGCAATAACCCTTCATCATGGCTCATCATGGCTCATCATGGCTCATCATGGCTCATCATGGCTCATCATAGCTCATCATAGATTCCTGAAAGATACTGACCACTCTCCTCTTTCTCATGACTTGCTGTTATGTGTTGTTGCCACGTCCAGAATAGGCAGGCGGTGGGAAGGGCGGCACGTCGAGAGCCACGTAGGACTGCCGATCGACCTCGACCGTGGTCGTCACAAGCACGCCGTCGCCCGTATGCTGCGGTCCGGGGCCGCTGTCTCTGCGTATCTGCGTCTTGTGTCGCCTCAGTCTGTCAACAGACCGGGTCCACCTTTTCGGACTGTCCTTGCTGAAGAAGCTCTCCGACGCCGTAGACCGACGTCGGGGCCAGACGCTGACGAGCAGCAGACGCAGGCTGGGCAGGCTCGCACACAGCATCGCCGTCGACTGCTCGATGAACGACCACACCACAATATCGACATGGTCCCACGTCTCGTCGAACGTGGTGCTGTACTCCACCAGGTATCTGACCCGGACCGCCGACGTCACGCACGCGCTGTCTGCCGTGTGAGCCTTCTCCTCCCACCTTTCTGC